GAAACACTTAATAATGAATTATTTATAAGTGAAAAGGATAAAGACTTAGTCTTGGAATGGATTAATAAAGAGGGCACTGCCAATATAATTTAAGAAAATAAAGTCAATCAAAAAATACTGAAACTATTTGCTTGCAGAATAAATAAAACTAAGCAATTCTTATTTATTTGTTCTGGGTTTTTAATATATTGTTCCTTATAATATCATTATCTTATACTGCTAGGTTTATTTCTCATATTTCAATGGCTCTTGCTCCTGGACATCTCTTTCTTCTTGATCATTCTTTTTCATCTTCTTGCTATGGAAAATTTAACCAAAGTAGTATTAAGAAAGAAAAGAGGTAACCAACCTATCTGATAAATGAGATTAGGAGAGTCATGCTAAAACTGACACTCACCAAAAAAGTTAGTAACTTTTTTGACCAGAGACTCATAAGAAGAAATATTTGACTGACTTTCATTTTCAACTGTAGACTGTATAGATAGATGGTTACTACAATGTAAATGATTTTAGTTTCTTGCTCCTTTACTTCACTGTATATACATGCTGAAGATTATAATCTAAAAGTGCAAATACTTCAGTACATTTCACTAGGCAAATTATAAGGAGTACAGAAGCGGGTGTTCAATTGATAATCAAATTAGTATACTAATATTGCTGCTACTTGCCTCCAGAAATGAAGAGTACTCTCTAACAGCTACTTTCCATCTAAATTTGCTCCCTTATTTAGTGAGATATGATTATTTATTACAAGAACATAATCATGAAGGAAGAAGTACAGCTGCTTAGTAAAAAAGGAAGACAAATTAGTTACACTACAAGTCTCCCAATCTCACCTGGGACAGACTGTCTTTATACATAGGCAATGGTCATGAATCATATTGACTTGAACTCATTCAGTAAGTGAATATACATGGCTTACTTACCAAGTACAATGATAGTGACCTAGGTACACTATCACAGACATGTATTCATTTCTTTAAAAAGTTGTATTTCTGAATATCCCTTGAGGAGCTTCAAGTACGTTGGTTTAGAGGATCTCTAAGACATCTTGGAGCCTATGATCAATCAGCAAAGTGTGGTCTATGACCTCTTCGGGTTCCCCAAACCCGTCCAGATAATATGTTACGTCAAACTATTTTTACAGTAACATCAAGACATTATTTGCCTTTTCCCCCTTGTACTGACGGTATTGATGGTACAAAAGCACTGGTGAGTGTTGGTATTAGCATGAATTAAGGAAGGTACCAAGAACCAGCAAGTCACTCTATTCATCATCACCAATTTCACTTAAGAATGCTTGAACTGTAAGCTAAATTAGCTGGGGGTTTTTTTCATGAAAACCATTTTTCCTTAAAAAACCCAATAATAAAATTATGGTTTTTCAGACTTGGGTGTTTGGCATACATTTTCTTGAAAAAAGAACAAAGTGAAACTATCACTTGAAGGACAAAGCTGACAGCATTTGTTATTAATAATGCTGGTTCAAACTACCAATGTAAAACTGGACATTTGGAAATCTTGCACCTACCATGGTAAGCTTGACAGTTTCTCAATTATTAATCAATTTTTGATGATACTGGTAGCAATATTAACAAATGTGATTTTTTAATAGTGGACGATAAAATACGTCAGCATTTGGAAAAATCTGCATTATTCACTGAACCAGTATCTTCTAAGTGGCCAATGCACGATGCTATAAAATCATACATGTGTAAAAGACTCACTCAAAGTGCAAGACAGTACTTGCTTTGACAGCACATATACTAAAATCAAAGTGCAATACAGACCAATGAATTTTAATACAACAACATATAAAAACACTGATATGATTTCAGAGTCCATATTATAACTTGGAAAGAATGACTACTTGTTGAATTCTGGAGTTGTAGCAAAGGAAAATATCCACAATTATCTGAAAGGCTATTAAGATATTCTCCCTTTTTCCAATTTCTTGTCTGTATAAAGCTTCATTTTTTAAAAATACATTTCAGCCAAAGCAACATATCACAACAGATTAAATGCAGAATCTCTCTTTTATTAAGCCAACTATTAAAGAGATTTATAAAAATGTTTAGCAATGTTCTTTTTGCTAATTTTTGTTTTAGAAAATAATTATTTCTCACAAAAATGTAATTCATGTTAATATTTGGTTTATTTTTTTAACAAATGAGCCAACTAACATTTCAGTTTCTCCATTTCAAATTCTAATACAGTAAATATGAATATGTATGAGCCACATAAACAAAAGCTATTAGGGAATTTAAGTACTTTTAAGAGTAAAATGTAGTCCTGAGAGCAAACAATGTTTAAGAAACAGTGGCCTAGATAATGGTCCAGTGAAATCAGTACTATGTGATTTATACAACAATCCACAAATTACAGTACATTAAGGGGAATTAAAACTAGTCTGTACAATCTGTAACGGTGGATACATGACATTATGCGTTTGTCAAAACCAAGTAATTTTAAAGCACAAAGAGTGAACCTATCTGCATACAAGTTTTAAAATATCATTTAAGAGGTTAGGGATCCCAGGAAGGAATGAATACAGATGGCAATAAGAGAATCTAAGTATTAAAAAATGTATATACAGCCTCACTGAAGGGCGGGGTCGAAAAGGCACTGACCTAAGTAACTTTGGAAATAAGTAAAGTCTGTAAGACTAAAAGTACAGGAAGTGTGCACAAGCACTGTAATTTCCCAACCAGGAACAAATGTACATTTCTAATACTGCTATACATATATATGCACACCTCATCTTATTGTGCTATGATTTATTGTACTTCACAGATGTTGCATTTTATACAAATTGAAGGCAAGACCCTCCATTAGCAAAAAGATCATGACTTGCTTTGATATTTTATTGTGGTGGTCGGGAATCCAACCCACATCTCCAAGGGGTACCTGTATATGGGAATTGAGCAATTAAGCAAATGGATAACAGATGGTTGGAGCCACATTTCCCACTGTTGGAGTGGGAATATACAGATAAACAAGACTAAAATGATCTGTGTGGTAATGGATTAGAGTTGGAGACATCAATATAAACTCATTTAACTTCATATAGACACACATGATCACATATATAAATATATACAGATATGTGTGTACACAGAGGTTAGTATACACATTTATATTCGTATACATGTATATATATTTCCATGCTGTAAGCTGAGAGGGCCTAAAGCAACAGAACCCCAGTAACAAAGAGCATACGTACCGCCCAGACCTTAGTTTCTAGTACCATTTTCCAAAAGGAACCAGGGCTCATTCAAGAAATGGCTGATTCTAGGACTGGCACAGGAAATATACATGAGCCTGGAACATCTTATAATATCAGAAGATAAGGAAGTACTAAAAACAACAAAACAAAACAAAACCCACTAACATTGATGGGATATGTCAAGGAGACACAGAGCCAACTGAAAGAGCTCCCAATGGCCAATCCTGGGACAATATGAGTAATGAAATAAAACAGTACTAGATTATAACTCTAAGTATAAAATAGCCAACTATTTTATCTATTCAAGTATTTTATCAAGTATCTATTACTCCATACTGATATAAATAAAAGATTTTTAAAAAATACAAAAGAGGAGGAAAGGAGACAAATCCCCCTTGCAAAATAATTCCAAATAATTAACATAGATATTCTGATCTGAAAGAAGGGGAGCATAAGTCTCCATAGCTTAGGTGTGGGCTGCACAGAGTGATTTGCTATCAAAGAGTACAGTAGGAAAAGGAAGATAAAACTAGAGCCCTGGCTGGTGTGGTTCAGTGGATTGAGTACCAGCCTGTGAACTGAAAGGAAACTGGTTTGATTCTGTCAGGGAACATGCCTTGGTTGTAGGCCAGGTCCACAGCAGGAGGCGTGTGAGAGGCAACTGATTGATGTCTCTCTCACATATCACACTGATGTTTCCCTCTCTTTCTCCTTGCCTTCTCCCTCTCTAAAATAAATAAATAACATCTTTTAAAAAAATATTTTTTAAAAAAAGTCATTTACAGTAGAGAAATCAGATTTCAGCCAGGTGATCAAGCTCAGTGTCAACAAGTGAGAAATCATGTTGATAAATACAACCTTGATATGATGTGGAAAAAGGGCGCTTTACTTCCCATCATCTTATAAATCCCAGTCTAATGATGAGAAAAAAAATTAAGTCAGTAATTCCAATAGAGGGTCATCCTAAAAAAGTATCTGGATATAAATTCCTACAAAATCAAAAACAAAGAAGTCTGAGAAACTGTCACATCCAAGAGGACCCTAAGGAGACATGACAAGTTAATGTAATGTAGTACCCTGGATGGGATCCTAGAACAGAAAAAGACATCAGGTAACAACTAAAGAAAAAGAAATAAACCACAGAATTTAGTTCATAATAATACATATATTATTATCATATATCATAATAATAGTCAATTCTGGTTCATTAATTGTACAAATATACCAGGCAAATATAATGTTAATCATAGGCAAAACTGGGGGCAGGGAATATGGAAACTCTCTGTAATAGCCCCTTAATTTTTCTTTAAATCTAAATGGTTTCTAAAGAATAAATATTTTTGCCCTGGCTTGAATGGCTCAGTGGATTGAGCACCAGCCTGATAACCAAAGGGTTGCCGGTTCAATTCCCAGTCAGGGCACATGCCTGAGTTGCCCATGAGTGAGGCAACCACATATTGATGTTTCTCCCCCTGCCCCCGCCCCCATCTCCCTCCTTTCCCCTCTGTCTAAAAATAAATAAAATCTTTTAAAAAAATTTTTTTTAAAGAATATTTTTTTAAAAGTACCTTAAAGTACTGACTTAGCATTTCAGATATATATGCAATTAATTATAAAGACAGTTGAAATTGCTGGCTACATCAAAATATACCCTAATTCCTTCTAATTCAGAAAGGTGCTTGCAATGAAACACCTTGAAAATGCGACAATTCAGCTTCATTAAGTAGTATACATACTTTTAAATGTAAAGTTTAACAATGGATTTTCAACCTACCATTTTTTTCTCCCATCTTTTGGTGTCGTTCATAAACACAAAACTCTTCAAAATTAACTTTATCAAAGGGATGAATCACCTTGATTGGAGAATATATCTGGAATCCAACTGTGGTCTCTATGAAATTTGCAGTCCTCAGAGAAAATAAATCATTATACCATTCTAACCCAGTATTCTTTGATTTTTGAAAGTTCGAATAGAAATTGTGATTGAAGAAACGTTAAGAAATGACTAGTCCAACATAGTGACAAGTCCACGAATCTTCATCAATTAAATATTTATAGTTGTATCAAATCACTGACAATATCTTTATAAAAATAAAAACCAACTCCATCTTTTGGTCCATAAATGCATAAAACATTCTGTAAAAAGAACAATAAAGAATTATGCATAGTTGTAAAGAATAAAATATATAAGGAGAGACTGTTATATAATAGCTCTATCTTTTAAAAACACCATGATCTCTTATGAAAAAAGTACATATTAATTAGAAAAATGTGTAAAATACTGAAATTAGGAAAATTACAGAGAAATTAAGAATCTCCCATATTTTATATGTTTTAACTAACATAAACTATCCTCTTTATAAATACTTTATAAAAACTTTTAAAATGGGTATAATAATGCTAACTATCTCATAGAACTGCAGTGAGAATAAGACTTAATCACTTAGAATAGTCCCCAGCACATACAAAGGACTCAATAAATACTAGCAGTAATTATTGTTCTTTCAGTAAATATACTTATAAAACAAAATTTGGAATTTGGTATATGTAATTTTTTATAACTTTTCATTGATAACATATTAAGCACTTTCCCCTGGTCATTAATATTTTTCTATAATATGGCTTTTAAGTGTATGATGTACTTTGGTCAGTAATACATATATTAAAACATACTAAAGAATTTTAATAATTAAAATTTAGTAAATTATTTATTAGTAGTATAAATAAACCTCTATATTGAACATTTAGGTCATTTTTTTCAATAATAATTAATGGTGGAATATGCTTTATGCGTATCTATGTTTATTCCGTTAAGATATGTACCTAGAGGTGGAACAGGTCCAGGTCAAAAAGAGATCAACAGTTTTCAGTGTCAACATATTAGTCAACATACAATAAATTCTTCTTCCACTCCAAAACCACAGATATATTAATATATTTTTTAAAATTTAAAACTATGTAGTCATGCTGAAAACAAAAAGGGAATTCTCTATGGACCAAGTCTGTGAGACCTCTCTGGGGAAACGAAACACAAGAGAAGCTGTAGAGATAATGCCAACCACCATAGTAACATGGGAAATCGAAGAGCAAAACCTCTCAGAGAAGATGAGTGTACAACTGAAGAGTCATCAAACATCTGAGGAAATGCTACATCATGAAAAAGATTTAACAGACCCACAAATGGATGGATTTAAATTCAAGAAAAGAATTAACAGAGCATCCTGAAAATAATTTTAAAACAAATGTTACTGTATTTAATATCCTCAAAGAGCAAAAGAAGAAAATCTCATCCATGAAATAACATACAGTTTTGAAAACAACTGATTAGATACCTATCTTGAATATAAAAACAGTTGTTGCCCTGGCCAGTGTGGCACAGTTGGTTGCAGTGTTGTCATGTAAACTCAAAGGTCATTGGTTTGATTCCCAATCCGGGCACATGCCTGGGTTGCAGGTTTGGTCCCAGTTAGGGTGAGTGTGAGAGGCAACCAATTGATATTTCTCTCTCATATCCATGTTCTCTCCCCCTCTCTTCCTCCCTTTGCCTTTCTCTAAAATTAACAAGCATGTATCAAGTGAGTATTAAAAATAAAAATAGTTGTTGAATAAACTCGACAGATGACTAGATAATAGCACAGACTCAGATGAAGAGCCATTTGTTAAGCTGGAAGACTGAGTTGAGTAAATTCACTCAAAACACAGAGCAAAGAAATAATAAGAGGAGGAATAAAATAAAGAGGCAATAAAGACCAAGAATTTCTCAGAACTGGAAGACACATAAACCCACTAGGGTGCACTGAATACTAAGCAGGATAAAATTCTTAATACACACTACTAAACAAACTGTGGATGAACGCCAGAATATCAAGAAAAAAGACAAAGTCTTAAAAGCTTCCAGAAAAATCTAGATTATCTGAAAGGACTAGGTAACAGACTGGTAATCAGACTTCTCATCAGAAATGCCAGATATTAAAGGAAAGTAAGTCCGAACCCCAAAATACTATTTCAGCCAAAATAGAGATTTTTACAGACATTAAAAGCCACTAAAAATCTCTGAAAGAAATAAGGAAGTACTGCATGAATAAAAACTAACCAAGAAGGAAGTAGTGAGGTACAAGAGCAACAGTCGGCAACTGAGTAAAACACATTAATGCTAGGTAAACACAGATTAAAAATGGATGCTAATAACAAATGACACAAAAATGCTAGGAGACAGAACAATGGGAAATTACGTTCTTTTTTGGAGGAGTGTTGGAAGGGGCTTGTCTCAAGATCAGAGAAAGTAAAGTAGAAGCAAGTTAAGTTCTTCATAGGGAGGCTATCAATACTAATTAAATTTAGACTTTGCAAGGAAAAACAAATTAAGAACTGTATTGATAATGTAAATCTATGAAAAACAAAAAAGGTACAACAAAGAAAACTTGGGGCCTGACCTCAATTTAAACAAAGAAACGGAGAAATAAGACATGAAAGATATGAAGAGAAGCATGGTAAATAAGATGACAAGGAAAAGACCATATATGTTAATAATCCCCCCAAAATAAAGGGGAATGTGTTAATCTGACTACTAGAAGACAGGCTGGCGCCCTGGCCTGCAAACCAAAAGGTGTCGGGGTTCTGTTCCCAGTCAGGGCACATGCCTGGGTTGTGGACCAGGTTCCTGGGTTCAGATCCCAGTCAGGGCACATGGCCTGGGTTGCAGATCGGTTCCCAGTTGGGGGCCTGTGGGAGGCAGCTGATTATTGTATTTCTTGCACATTGCTGTTTCTCTCCTCTTTTTCCCTCCCTTCCCCTCTCTCTAAAAGTAAATAAATAAAATCTTAAAAAAAAAAAGACAAGACTCTCAGATTGGATTCCAAGCAAAGGCTAGCTATGATATTTTTAAAGACATCCACTTAAATCATACAAAATATCAGTGAAAGGTTGAATGAAGGGATGTGAAAAAAGACATACCAGCAAATACAAGAAAGATTCATAGAAGTTAATATGAAAACTAATAAAAGAGACAAATATTTTACACTGACAGAACAATTCACCATGATTATCTAGCTGAAATTACTGACTTAATAACTTTCAAAGTTCAACAGTAAAACATCCAATTAGAGGAATAAGTATAAAAAAGAAACGGGCCCTGGATGGTGTAGCTCAGTGGACTGAGTGCGGGCCTGGTTTGATTCCCAGTCAGGGCACTGCCTGGGTTATGGGCCAGGCTCCCCAGTTGGGGGCGTGGGAGAGGCAACCAACTGATGCATCTTGCACATTAGTGTTTCTCTCCCTCTCTTTCTAATCCCCTTCCCCTCTCTCTAAAAAGTAAATAAATAAAATCTTAAAAAAAAAAAAACAACAAACCTCCATACCACACATTCCCACCTCTCACTCCCAGCATACCACGTTCATAAAGTTTTACAGATGAATTCTACAAAATTTCCAAGAAACAGATCATTCCTATAGTATACAAAAGTTCCAGAGCAGGGAAAATATGGGAAGCTATTGAACTTTGTTTCTAAGATTAGTATAACTTGACATGTTAAAAAAAAAAATAAAGGAAAAAGAAAAAGAAACTCAAGGCCAAAAGCACTTATGGATATAAACGCAAACACAGGAAGTAAAAGCATGTATCAGTAGGCAAGTATATTAATGTAAGTTTTATCCCAGGAATACCCAAAAAGTTTAAAACTGGAAAGCTTCTCAATGTAAATTTTTATATTAACAGATAAATGGGGAAAACTATCATCTCAGGTGCAAGAAAACAAAATAATTCAGTGAGGTCAACAACTATTGGAGGCAGGAGGAAGAGGGTAAACTCCTAGCAAACTAGTAACAAAAAGAGAATTCTTTAACCTGACAAAGACTATCTACTAAAACCTAGCAAATAAGCATTTTCATTAAAGTTAGGTACAGGATAAGGATATTTGCCACCACTGCTCTTATTCAATATTGTACTAGACCTCTTAGAGAAAGGCAGTATGATAAAGAGACCTGAAGATTACAAATAAGAGAAAAACCTGTAGAATAAATAAGCAAAAACAAAATAAAGTTAAAAGCCAAAGAAAGAACTGGGAGAAAATGTAACACATTTAAAAAATATTAACAAAAAAGCTGGGAAAACGGAGACAATTGCACTTGAACAACATTTAAAAAAATGTATGTATTAAAAAAAAAAAAGACATAGTTGGCAGACACCAAAGAAATTTTAAAAAATTATACAGGATAAATAGTATCCAGGACACATAAGGAACTCCTTCAATCATTAAGAAAAAGATAACTAAATAGAAAATGGGTACTTTATGAAAAAATTATAGAAATCTACGTAAATTAAAGGTTAATAAACATGAATAGGTACTGCAATCTTAGTAATCAGAGAATGAAATCTTTAAAAAATGAGTATTATTTTCATCTATCAGATGGGCAGAGAGTAAGATAACATCTTGGTCTGGATCAGCTATTTTCATCCTTTTTCATCCCATGGCACACATAAACTAATTACTAAAATTCTGCAGCACACCAAAAAATGTATTTTTTGCCGATCTGACAAAAAATATAACTTTGATTCATTCACACTGGACAGCTTTTGATGTGTTGGCTGTTGTCATTTTTTAAAATTTGGGGAACTGACTATAAATCAAAAATTGCATGTTTTAAAAATTCTTGCAGCACACCAGTTGAAAATCACTGGTCTAGATTATAGGGAAACTGAATGGTAATGAACTACTTGAGATGTGTAAATTAGTAGAAATATTTTCACAGCAAATTTGGCAAGACATTAAAATTAAAAATGTTCATAATTTAAAACCAAGCAATTTCACTTTTAGATACGTATCTTGAAAAATAGCACATGAGCACAAGAAAACATATGCAAGGGTTGCCCTGAAAGGTGAAAAATTGGAAACAACCTAATTTCCATCAAAAGGAGAATGGCAAGTAATGCTATACAGTACACATCAAACAGAATTTAATGAAAACGAGTAAGAGACAAAGATAAATATTTTACATTAACAGAACAATGTAGTCATACATTAGAACACTATCCAGCAGTAAAAAAATAAACCATAACATGAGCTATTACATGCATACACTACAAAAACACTGTCAAGAGTTATAGATTTATAGTATGATACTATTTTCCTTTTAAAAAATTATGAATGCATATATGCATCTATTGAGAATATGTAAATATAAAAAAGGACATGAGGGTCTGCGCCAGTCTTTGTTGTGGATTTGAGGGAGCTAGAGCAAATTCAGGGATTGTGGATTGTTTTCTTTATATATCTGTGAAGTTCTAATTTTGTAAAAGGAAATGTAAAAGTGTGCTTAATTTACAAAGTATATAACTTTCAAAAGGGACTGCCTATTTTAAAGCTTTCTGGAGCATATTGCCAAACTGCTTTCAGAAAGATTCCACCAATTTATACTTCCGCCTATCAGCACACTCACTAATAGCTTTTTTTAAAAAGCTCTCACCAGTGTTGTCCATTACTTCTAAAAATTTAAAAGTAACCGAACTTACAAAAGTAAAACGTTTACTGGAGAAAATATGCAAAAATATAGTAAAGCATAAGGAAGAAATTTTTAAAATCACTCATAATTTCACCATCCAGAGACAACCAATGTTATTATTTTGGAGTGTAACTTGATCTAAATTTGTTCATATTTTTCCCTTTCTCACTTTCTATTTTAGCAGAAAAGTAGTTTCAGTTCAGTTTGCGGTTTTTTTTTTTTAAAAATAGGCTCTTATGAAACTGTGACCATTTCTTCTCTGTTGCCTTCTGTTTTAGTTTTAACAGGAATGAACGTAATTTGAATATAAATCGTGTGTCAAGTACACTTCTAAATACTTCACTTCTTATTCTGCATAACAATCACACACATTAGCACGCTGTTTTTCTAGTGAAAGTGCCAGAATCAAAACATAAGCAACCAGGCAGTGTGGTTTCCGGGCCCATGTTTTTTTATTCCACTCTACCGCCTCAGTTACAACTTTTCATAGTCTTATTCATTAATACATACAGAACTCACTGCAGGTTTCCACATGCCGAAGAGCAGTTAATTACATACTCTTCCTTATTTTATTACTCATTAGAAAATTACTTACTGGGTTGTGGTTAGTAAGTCTGATGCTCTTATGATCTGATACCAACTCTGTGATCTTGGATAAACGATTTTACTTACTTAGGGCTTGTACAGCCTTACCTGTGAATTGCGTCAGTGGTTAAACCTTCAATATCTGCTTCTTTATTTTATACTGTAGTTTATTTCCTGCAGCCCCTTTTACAGCCTCGGGTTCCCAGTAGATTAGGAATCACCTCACATTAATGTATACACCGCGATAGACTGAAATAGGGGCTGAGAACTCCGTGCGCTCGCAGTCCCTTCTCCAGCCTGGATCTGCACGTGGGTCAAAGAAACGAGGTTGCAAGGGCTCCCCTACGTACCCACGTCCTGGGTCGAAGGACCCGTCTGGGGGCCACCCACGGCCGTGCCTCAGTTACACCGGCTCCACTGAGTTTTCCTTGCCTCCAGCGAGAGCTGAAGGCTGCACTCCACCCACTCCGTTGGCGAGGCCGGGTTCACCTGCAAGAGCCCTTTCCGAAGGACTCTACAGCCCCGAGGACCCCCTCTCCGGGAAGTACTTCACCATGCATTAGATTTTCCTTCGGCCGGAGGGAAGACTGACAATCTGTAACACCAAGGCCTCCAGTAGCGAACCCTAATTGGGAGGAGTCGGACACCGCCCGGCCGGATGCCCATTGGTTGTACACCCACAGGGTTCACGCCTCAGACCGCCGCGCGCCTACCGTCCGCAGTGCGGCGGCGTCCGAAGCGCGCCCCTGTCCGATTTGCTGACAGCGCTCTCGAGCTGTCTCGCGCTCTCTCTCTGGGCCAATGGGGATACCCGCAATCAAGAGGCCGGCTTCGCTGGAGTAGTGGCGCAGCAGTTTTGTCCGGTAGGTGTTGGGCTGCCATTTTGTGTGTGGCTGAGACTGGGCTTCTTAGGGTTTTAAAGCGAATCCGCTCAAGGCTTAGAGGGTTCATGAGGGACCGGTGGAGGAGTTTTGGGTCTGGACTAACAGACCCGGCGCCTTCTCACTATTCTAAAAGGGAAATTCCTGGCTTGATTCATACCCCTGGGTGGAGATAGCAGTGAATGGTGTTGGTAGCCTCGGTTTGCTTGTCGTTGTGAAGGCTTAGGAGGGGGTATGATGCTTTAAAATCGATTCCTTGAATTCCAGGGAAGCATTCAAATACCCGTTGTCTCGTTAAGATTCTGACCATAGTCTTTAATGGCATAAGAGGTTGGGTGATGGACTGTTTGGTTCAGAAAGAAACAAAGCTCGCAACCAGTGAAGGGGGAGAGAGGGAATACCTCAACATTATGTTCAGGTTCGAAAGAGACGTCTTCATTTTCAGTTGTGGGGGAGGGCGCGGCTCCCGAAGTGTTTATTCTTTTCTGTAGTTACGGTTTGACTAAGGCCATCATTTGGTGGCAGTGGGCGTCAGGGTGCGCATTTGAACAGTTTTGTTCATTAGCGTGCAGCCAGTATTCCTGCAGTGATTTTATATATTTATATATATATATATATATATATATTTTTTTTTTGCTGGTTTTTGTTTTAAACGCTTTTTTTTTTTTTTTTTTTTTTTTTTTAATTTTGGTCTTTGTAGAAACAGCGGAAGGGAAGGAAGAATTTTGTCAAATCTTGGTTTCCCTGGTTACGATCTGTAGGAGATTCAGAAATCTCTGGATCTGCCTTGGGATGCTTGGTTGCTTCGTACGGGCCTGGGGGAGGCTGAGGAAAGCACCTTAACTCCTGGGTTCTATGTGGGTTGGAGAGAAGGACACAAGAAATACCTCCTCTCTTTTTTTGGTAAGTCGAAGTAGAAAGCACGCATTGTCTTTGATTTGAGGGGGATATTTTTATCGGATCGGAAAACCGATAAACCGAGAGCCTTTTAACCTAGCCGTTAAAAGACTCTCCCTCGCCCCCTCGCCCCCCCCCTCTCTCTCTGTTTAGCTTTAGCAGTTTGACATGCATAAGGAGAAAGCAAATATATTCATCTTACTTCCTTGAGTTTAGTTTTCAGTTATTCACGGTTAACTGATGGCCCAACAGAGTCAACAGGGTGTTTTGTTGCAGGAATACCAAAGAAAACAACAGTAAAATAATAGAATAATTAAATATTTTCTCTTAAAATTTTGCTTTTTAATTCACGAGTCTTATAAAAGATGATTGCAAGGGTTCAACTATCAACCATTTTTTTATTTTTACTTCCTGATTTTAATTACAGAAACATTTTGTTCCACTTATTTATGCATTCATTGGTTGATTGTTGTATGTGCACTGACCTGGGGTTGAGCCCTGAACCTTGGCACGTCAACGACCATACTCTAACCAACTAAGCTACTTGGCCAGAGCACCGAGCATCATTAAATTAATATTGCATTGATCGCTAAGGTACATGTTAGTAATCAGTACCTAAGAAACACAAGTTTTCTGGAAAGCTTGACTTTCATTTGTTTGAACTGTATTTGTTCTTTCCAATTTATACGTAGAAATAATATTAAGGGCACGTTCATTTCCTTTTTGTGAGGTCTGTTTATGTGCTACAGATACATTTAGATAATGAAGATGAGCCCTAAATGATAATGTTTTTGCCATTTTTTTTTTGACAGTATACATTCTCAGTAAATGAATACCAAAATTACAAGTTTTATATCTTTTTTGCCAAAGAAAATTTATTGCTTTTCTAGTTTCCTTTTAACACAACTTAAAGTCAAAAGACTTCAACTTTAAATTTACTATATTGCATAATTATATTCTATAATTTTAAACAAGAATTTTAAAATAGGTAAGTTTCCTCAAATTTTTCTTTCAGGAATACCGTTCTCTAGACTTAACAATATAATCTGAAGAAATTTCTTAGAAATTTTTTAAATACCACTTTTGCATGAACAATATTAAGTGAGTACATAAAAATGATTTAACTTATGTTAGAGATTTTCATTGCAATCTGATATACATGTTAGGGTTTGTTGTGCATGCTGTGTAATTTTTAAAAAATGCGATAATACCTTTTAAATGAATGTAGTGTTTTGTGACAATGTAGATTAAATTTTATCTAAATTAGCAATAAATCAGAAACTGCTCTCAGAACCTGCTTGCAGTTCTTACATTTGGCCTTAAAAAATATGAATGATTTTATGAGCAAAAATTTTAGAGTCCTTTTGTTACCTGGGAGACCTGAGTTATGGGGATTCCACTCCTAGGTTCTTGCCTTCCTTGCAAGAGAAGACAGGTGAGAGACAACAGATACAGTGGAAATGAGATAGTAGTTTATTTATGGAATACACTTGAGCAGGAAGCTGCAAGCGGTCACCCCACTGGTTTGAGAGCCCCGTGTTCACTGAAAATAAGGTTGCAAGTTTACACTTGAGCATGAAGCTGCAAGCAGGCTCCTGGCTAGTCTGAGTGCCCCAACTATTGGGATTTTAGGAGTTTTATGTTTGTAGCCAGCTCCTTGGTTCCCCCACTTCCTTCCCTTTCTAGACCTTGGGATTAATGAAGTGTGAAGACTTTTCTTTCCCAGAAAGTGGAAATGATACATACAGAACTTCAAGGGCTCCACTCCTGTGCTATCTTGGTTTTTCTTGTGACGTTCAAACACCTGGCAATCTTATTGGACCACCTCAGGACTGCTGAGTTAATGGGTGAAACATGTCTCCCTCCTCCTCCCTGCTTTGGTTTACTATCTTACCTAACACAGTTTTATTAAAAAACACATTTCAAATATGATAAGCTTTCCCCCTCAGTAACTCAAAAGCCAAATTGCAAATAATAATCATCCTTTCAAAAGTTATTTTTGATATCTAGAAATACCTTGCTGTGCTTTGTAAGAGTTTTGATCATATAAATAAAATGTCACTTTGTGGGGGAAATTTGAGATTTTCAGAAATATTTCTCTGTTTCTCAATAATTTAGTGCATCTTGCTATCATTTTTCTAATTTTAACCAGTATTTCCGCATAAACAATGTGACTTAAAATTTAAAATGTTTTAATACAATGTAAAGATCAAAATGACCACTGCACTTTGTGCAATTCAGCTAATCAATGAAATTGATTGAACTCCTGAATCAGAAGGATGTCCATTAACTGCTGAAAATGCTTGTGAGATAAACATATAGGACATTCAGATTATTTCACTTAAAGGAGCAACATTTAAAATAATACAGAGTTGGCTTTTTTTTTTTCCTAAAATGGAGCAGTAGAGACACTAAAATATTGCCATTACTATTACTTTTCCCCTTGTGATCTCATTTGTTTTTTGGTTTTGGTTTTGGTTTTTTTTTTAGAGAGAGGGAGAGAAGCATCCATGTGTGAGAGAAACATCAATGCCCCTTGTACTCCTCCCGAATGGGGACGAACCTGCAACCCAAGCATGTGCCCTGACCAGAAATTGAACCAGCAACCTTTTGCTTTGCAACACCCAGCCAACTGAGCCACACTTGCCAGGGCTGTTAAGTTCTCTCTCAAGTGCTCAACACATTACTCAAAGTCTTTGGGCAATTAAATCAACTCAATTTGTATACAGTTCTCCCTCTTTTATGTTTCTTATTTTAAGTGGTTCAGATTTAAAACTTGGAATCTTACCTCTCCCTTTTGCCCAACGGTATTATCTGTTGGTTCATCCTCCAAAATGATTTTTCTTTTCAAATTTCTACTCTTGTCACTACTGTCCTAATTTAGGCCCTTTCCTTTTTCATGGAAACACTTACATGACATTGTGTTATTGACAAAGTCTGCACCCTTCAACTTGGAATTTGTTTTAAGATACAGGTTTGGCTGCTATAACTGAGAAACTTTTTTTTTAAAAAAAAAGGTTTATTTCTTCCCTATGTAAAAATATGAATTGGTGAGGTAGCTTTGCTATAGAAAGTTGTCAGGGACCCCAAGCTCCCTGTAACCTGTTGCTCTATCGTCATGATGCAGCTCCATCTTGTGGACTAAGATGGCTGCTTCACTCTCTGCCATTATATGTCACATACCTATATTAAAGATTAAAATGTAATGTGGTTGTACACACAGAATATTTGTAAGTGGTAGTAGGAGTAAGGTTTTTATTCTTTATCAATTTTTATAAAGTTATTTTATGTATTTTAAGTAACAGTTTGATTTCATGACTTTCTGATGGTTCTGTTAGGTTTCTACACTTGTATTTGGGAGGAGTAGGGTTGATAGCTTGTGACCCTCAAATACTGTGCTTATGGACTGTATTATGACTTGCAGACCTAGAGACTACTTGTACTTTCCCATTCTCTCTGTAAAAATAGTTCCTACTAGTCCAAATTACTTTCTTTTGAAAGTAATTGATGCCTAGCTCAACTTTCTCCTGAAGTAGAGGCAGGTTTTATTCAATCACAATATCCTTTTACCCTACACCCAAATTCTTCATTTATTCACATTTTATGTTACTTATGTGAGTAACAACTACGTGGAAGGCAAGAGTCCTTCTTGAATCTGGTGAACAAATTTGCATGCAGTTGATCATTGGATGTGTTTACTCATTTGATTTCAAACAGAACAAAGGATTGAGAAGGGAGGTGTGGCCCTGGCTGGTGTGGCTCAATGGACTGAGCGTTAGCCTATGAACTAAAAGGTTGCTGGTTCTCTTCCCAGTCAGGGCACATGCCTGGGTTGCAGGCCAGATCCCCAGTGTGGGGCACGTGAGAGGCAACCACACGTTGATCTTTCTCTCCCTCTCTTTCCCCTTCCCTTCCCATCTGTCTAAAAATAAATAAGTAAAATCTTTTTTTAAAAAATTGAGAAGGGAGGTCAGAAGTAGACCTGTCTTTGTATATCAAGTGTGTTTTGCCATTAGGGAGTGTATTCATCTCTTAAAAATTAACATAAAAATATCAGTACCCTGACAGAAAATGAGTAAAAGACA